ACCACTGAGCTACACCCCACGAAGTCCCTGATCTGAATGGACTGGCTTGAGCTTTGCCTGACATTGATTGTTCCAGGACATGGAATCAGGTGTTTCCAGGGAAGGGAGCAGGAGGCTGGGGATTTAGCTCAGCGCCACAGTGCCTGTCTGGCAAGCACAAGGTCGTGAGTTCAATTCCCAGTACAGGAAAAAACAAAACAAAACAAAACAAAACACAAAATGTTATGTGCATCCAGGGAAGGGAACAGCGCAGGTAAACACCCAGCTGCAACAGAAGGCACAGGGTATTCACTGACAGTGATCAGCTCAGCTGTTTCTCACCCAACACCATCTCCCTGTGTAGGAAGCTTTCTCCTCACCAGAGACATGTGCCACCACCAAAACAGCTTGACAGAAAGAAGACTGGGAATCCCCTCAAGTCCTGTGAAGCTTCCCGAGGAGAGTGCTCAACAAACAAATGATCCCAATAAAAATTCCCAGGAAAACTCCACTGGCATTTGTAGCTCCAATATCACTAGCAGTCTATGTTTGCCATCCACAACGTCAAGGCCTGATGCTTCTCTCAAGATGTAAACCCTGAAAAGAATTCAGAAGGCTTATTTTTAAAATAAGGCTACAAATAAAAAGCTGAGTGAATTAAAGAGAAAAATGCAGGATATGCAGAAGCAATTCAACAAACAGACAGATTCTGAACAAGAACCAAACAGAAATTGTAGAAATGAAAAGTGCAATAAGTCAAATAAAAATATAGTGGAATGGTTCAAAGACACAGGATCAAGCATAAGATGGAATTTCAGTCTTGGGAGATGTTACGGTTGATACATTGTGTCAACTTGGGGAGTCTAGAGGTTTCGCTAAGTGACTCAGCAGGGAGCCAGGGTGCTTACTTTGTATACATCCAGAGCCTGTGGAAGAAGAGGGCATGGAAATTATGAGAGTGCTACACCTTCCCCAGGTGGGGGTAGCCTGTTTACAAGGTGAGGGAGGGAAAGAAGCTGCTTGCCGCCGTTCCTCCCTTTTGCTCTGGCTGCTTTGCCATTCGACTGCTATTCCCCCCTTTGCTCTTGTTGCTTTGTTATCTTCTGTCTGGGAGCCAGCCAAGTATGGACTGAAACCTCCGCAAACTGTAAGCTAAATAAACCTTTCCTTCCTTCATTTTGGGCATTGGGTATTTTGTCTCAGCAACGAGAGAAAAGTAACTACAACAGAAGATAAGATGAATGAATTATCACACTTAAGTGCTTGCAAAGAAAAAAAAGAAAGTATGAACTGAACTGCCAAGAACTCTGAGACAGGTTAAGAGCACAAACTTACAAATTTTTGGCATAAAAGATTGCCCAAAGATTCACGCTAATGGCATTGAAAATCTACTCAGTGAAAAAAAAAAAAAAAAAAACTCAGAAAGCTTGCCAAATGTTGCGAAAAGTATGGACACCCAGGTATAGGAGGCATTTTGAAATGAAGTAGTGACCAGAAAAGAGAGTACCTCCCCGTGTCACATTACAGTTAAAATGTTGAGAATACAGAAGAGAGAAAGAATATGCAAAGCTGCAAGAGAAAAACACCAAGACATTTATACAGGCAAACCCATCAGAATAACTGCAGACTTGTCTGTTGAAACCCTGAAGCTCAGGATGGCATGAACAATATATTTCAAAAGTATTTAACTGGAAGTACATAACTACCAACCTAGATTATTATAGCCGATAAAATTATCCTTCAAAACTGAAAATGTAAAGACTTTCTATATAAGTAAATGTTTTAAAATTGTCTGACACATAAGCCAGGATTGCAGAAAATACTTAAATGAATCCTACTAACAGAAGAGGAAGAATGTGATAAGCTGTGGTCAAGGAAAGAAATGCTGGAGAAACAACAAACTGACAAGAATTAGTGCGTATCTTTCTGTAACAACTTTCACTGTAATGGTCTTCAATTTTAGAAAAATGGGTGAAATTTGAGACCACAATCTTAAGTGAAATAAGTCAAACATGGAAAGGTAAATATCACATGGTTTCTCTTACAGAAGAAAATGAAAATACAAATAAATAGAAGAGAAATGCAGGATAAAAAGGCAGATGTTTTGGAGATGAGGGAAGGGATCAGGGAAAAGACGAGGGGAGGTAAAAGGATCAGAAATGAACAAGATATGTCATAGTCACATGTATATACTAATTTCCCAGTATGAATATTACTATTACGTGTTGCGGGGCTGGGGATTTAGCTCAGCGGCACAGCGCCTACCTGGCAAGCGCAAGCTCATGAGTTCGATTCCCGGTGCCGGGGGGGGGGGGATCTATTATGTGTTGCAAGCATATACTAATAACAACAAATTATAAATATGAAAAAATGTAAATTATCAATAAAGAATTGGCATAAGTGTGTGAGGCTATGTATATGTTAATTAGTTTGATTGTAGTGATCATTTCGCAGTCTGTGTGTATCTCAAAATGTGCTGTTGTACTTTTAAAAAATAAACAAATAAAACAAATGGCTTCCAGCCACAAACAAACAAACAAACAAACTGTACCCAGAACCTTCCAGGCACTGGCGCAAATCTTGGATGAGAGGATGCACAGCCTCAAGCCAGGATCTGGATCCAGGAGACCACATGGGGAGCCCAGGGCTCGCACAGTGTGGCTGCAGCAGCCATGATTGGAGCCAGGTGGAGAGCTAATGCAGGTGGAAAGAGACTGTTCTTTTCTGTACATTGCCCCTGAACCGCCACTCCAAACAGGTTCTAGTGCTAATCCAGGCTTTTTCACTGAGGTTAGTGGGACACTGTTGACCTGCCTAGCTTGGATTCTTGTTTTTCTCACCACCCTTTCTCCATTACATTACAAAGCCAAACTGTGAGCTACACAGTATCAGGTGTGTCCAGGAGAGCAAGCGAGACAGGATCTCTGTCAGTGGAGCTGAGAATTGCTGGGCTCCTCCCAGAAATACATCATCTTCCACAGTCCTTCTGGCTTCTTTGGATGTCATTTTCCCTCAGAAAAGGATGATGAGGTCTACTTCTCAGAAACATGGCCGTGTGGCCCTGCAGGTGCCCTGGCCCTAGCACCACCCAGTGGCAACAGGAATCTGGACAGTTCATTGTGCTGGCTTCATCCACTGAACTGTGGCTTGGATGAAGAGGTAGGAGGAAATTGTCCTGTCCCAACAACTGTGATGTCCCTGTCATCCTTGAGCAAGAAAACAAATCTCAGCTGGATTATTAAAGCCCTGGCAGTTAAGGAAATTCTAAGTGCCAATATCTAGGAATCCTATTTCTCAGAGGACCAAGAGGGAGTGAGACTTGATAAAAACATGTTTTGGAGTTGCTATCCCTGGAAAGCTGAGAAGTTCCAGCACTGAGATATGGAAGGCAAACACGTGGATTGAGTTGGAGAAATGGAGTAATTTAATGGGGGAAAAGTAGACACCTTTAAGCTAGCGAGGGCAGATATATAACAGCAAAAACCGACTGCCCCACAGCAGACTTCAGAAAGAGAGGGGTGTGCAATTGCTTCTAGATCCAGATAGCGCAGGATGCAGAGAGGACTAAGGGATTCACCGAACTCCCACTCAGTTACTGGAAAACAGAAAATTATTGAAAGAACTTTCTTTTAACTGTGACATTTCAAAAACTGTTTTATTTTACTTTTTGTTAGTACCCGTTTGTGGTATGTAATTTTTATATTCCTTATGCGGAGGAGGTGCCTATATGTAACACATCTTATTTCTTCTTTCTGTCCACTGTTCCTCCCTTCTCTCCCTACTCCTTTCATCTCCTTCTTTCATTTGAGAAAGATCTACCTCTCTACCTCCTATTATCTATCCTTTATTTTGTTCTTTATTTCTAATTTAGGGTTCTCAAAAAAGTGTGATGTATAAGCTTATAAATCATATTTCACTTAAACTCGTGGTCTCAAGGTGCAACCATTTTCCTGCAGATGACTCATATTTATCCTTCATTATGGCAGAGTCATACTCTGTTGTGTGTAAATGCTGTATTTTCTTTATCCACTTATTGGATGGACCTATAGGCAGGTTCCAAGGTTTAGTTATTAAGGATTGTGTTCCTGTAAACATGGATATGCATATATCGCTGTACTATGGTGATTTTAACTCTTTCAGGATGATACCTAGATGGGCAATAGCTGGGTCAAATGGAATTTCTAGTTATAAACTTCTGAGAAATCTTCACAGCTTTGATTTCCACAGTGGTCACACTAGTTTACGTTTCCGCCACCAATATAAAAGTGCTCCTTTTCCCCTGAAGCCTCAGGAGGAATGATGTGTTAACACTTTTACATATTTCCCAAAGCAGGTGCCCTGCAGACACTGGGAGAGAGAAGCTGTGCTCAGCGTCTCTGCTCTGCTGCTAGTAGATAGAGCTCAGACCACAGCTGATAGGGAAAGGAAGACTCCTATCTGGTCACGCAGTGGCCCGGAGCAGGGCTGGGAAGCTGCCATCTAAGCTTCCTCCCAACACCTCCTTTTCCCTCTCACCAACAGCCTTTCTAGCACTTGAGCAGCCTCAGGTTCAGCCACACTGACTTTGCTGGGGCGATGCGTGAGAGACCTCAGGGGAAGCCATGCACGACGGCTCCAGGTGGGGAGCCAGGTGCTCCTGGTAGCAGAACCCATGAGAGCCAATATCTAGAAGTTGTGTGGACACAACATCCTACAAAACCAGCACAACAAAAATGAGGCCTGTGCTGATGCTTCAGGTGGACACGGGCAAGGCAGGTGTGCTGGGAGAGGGGCCCGCGAAGGGAGGGTGTTCAGTTCAGTGCCCAGCGATGCACAGTGTAATGTGTAGAGAGTGCCACACTTCGTCTGTGGCAGGTCTTTCCTTTTGAAGACCACAGAAAATAGCCCAGCCATGGGCTGGGCCTGGAAGGACTTGGAATTGTGGGGCCTGAGCTGGCTCCTCGCAGAGTAAACAAGCAGGGTGGGGTGGGGGTGGTGCCCAGCAGGCAGTGTGCTTGCTGCTCACAAGTTGTGAGGTTCGGTTTCCCTATCAGGAGCAGGGCTCTATCAGCCCATAGGTCGCCTCAGCTCAGTATTTACTCCACAGCTGGACGAACTGTGACTGGACCCACACAGCTCGGACAGCTGGATTGTGCTCAAACAGAGGCAGGGGAAGAATGCTTGGTAAGTTGGGGACTCCCCCATCTTCCCTTTTGCTGCAGCCTCTATCTTTAGGACTCCAACAGTCTTTTATTATAAAGTGCTTTCTTCCTTCCCCTTTCTATTTGTGGATTACATAGGATTCCCTTCCATTAATGGACTCTGCTATCGACTCTCTATGTTTGGACGGTTAGTAATTTCCTTCCTTTTTGATGTTAAAAACAAAGCCACTCTGTACACAGTTCTCACCCGGGGCACGCTTCTGTTCTGCTGTCAGGGTAAGACCTGGGCTGAGTTGCTGCTGGGCCACACCTAGGACCCATTTCATAGTTAAATGGAAATTGCTGATTGTCCTTAAATTTCTAGAACCTTCTGTAAGCCCATCAGTCACGAAGGGGCTGTGTGCCTGCAGCTGGCCAGCAAAGGGTGCCGCCGGTCACATTGTGGTTATTCAAACTGCTAGGTTTAAACCGTATCTCTTGATATTCACTTGCCTTTCCTGATCGTGTGTCTGCAGAAGAGCAACCAGGGCATTAAGGAAAGGATCCCTACCCCTTCACCCCAAAAGTCACTGACCCCATTAGGAAACAGGAGAAGGGCAAGGTAGGGAGCTGAGCCTGACAACTGGACCTGGGTGTCACCTGGGAAAGGGGCTTTAGATGTCCACACTCCAGCCCTGCCCCTCTTCAGACTGTAGCTGGGCCCATGCTTTTCACTTTTGCTTTGTCCTTTCTCCTTGTACAAATATATTAAGACTTCAGGAAAGAGCTATGAGTCAGTAAATGGAAACTCTCAGAAATCTTATAGCTGTCAAAACCACTTGAAAATAGCCGGGTAATTTGTATACAACGTGAGCCATAGTCTTATCAGTTCTCTGCCAGAAGGAACTGACCATGGAGACAGAGAAGAAAAACTAGTAGAGGAACTCAGCTGCTAGGAAAAGGGAACCTGAGCAACATTCTCAGTGGCTGGAGGAGGCTGTGTCTAGGGAATGCCTCTCACACGGTAAGTTTGGGCCAGCCTGGGGCACTAGGGCAGAGGCTGTGCACACTGGTTCTGTGTGACTCATGGGGGTTGCTGCAGATGACAACAGAGCCCCCCTGGGCTGGGTGCAGTCTCCTGGGGAGACAGCTGCACACAGATGGCACAGATACAAGTTTCAAAGAGTTCTCCACATTCCAAGGAAGGCAGGGAGAACTTAGGGCAGCTAGCAGGGAGGAAGTGGCCTGTGAACTGGACTTAATACAGAGGGGAGGGGAAGGAAGACATCCAGGTGAAGACATAGCCACAGAAAAGCTCTGGAGCCTGGGAATGCAGATCCTGGTCATGGAAGGTGCTCGGAATCAAGGTGCATGGGGCAAAGGAAGAAGTGAGTCAGGAGGAGCTGTAGCAAGCAGGAGGGTTTGCATTCTGGGTCCAGCAACTTGAGCATAACCCCAGCAGGCCATTAAAGAGTCTTCAGGAGAAGCCTGCGGTCTTAATTCCTTACATCCTTGGCCAAGAAGGGTGCCCTGCAGTCACTGACTGGGAAAATCTATGTTCAGCATCTTTTCTCTGCTTCTTGGAGAGACCTCAGGCTACGGTGATAGGGAAAGAGGAATCCTTATATGCTCTATGCAGGTGTCCAGAGGAAGGAGGGGGCAAGTGTCACCTGGGTTTCCTCCAGTATCTCCCTTCTCTCACCACCAATCACGTTTCTGGATATTAAGCGGCAGGCAAACATCCTATAAGGACTCCCTGTGTACCAAGCAGGCAGGAGTGAGCACTTCTTATATAAGCAAATAACTGATGAGGGTCAGAGCCAGGCCCAAAGTGACAAGCAAGGATGAGATGCAGAGTGTAGACTATTTACAAGATGTGGAGTCCCTCAAGATCCTGCTCTTTCTGCTTGCCCATCTGTCTGGTTTTCCGATTTGGTTTATGCACCTCGTATACCTTGGTCTCAAAACCTGTATAATCCCCAGGGTCAGGCCATATTTGAAGCAAGAAGAGTGGAAAGGGCAACCAGGTGTCCTGTCACACCTGTCCTTCTCAACTATAAATCCCCTAGTAAGCTGCTTAGAGCTTGGCCTTGTATCTTGTGGGTTAGAACAGGGCCACACAGCCACTGTTACTGAGCATGCATCTGGAAGAAGCTCATCTCATCAGAGAACCAATGCCTGAGACAGGAATGTTGGGGAGGTGTAGAGGTTTTATTCGGGGGCAAGTAAGGGGAAAAGGGAGCTTTGTTGGCAGGTCAACTTCTGAGTGACGTGAGGGGCAGAGATTCACAGATAAAGGACAGAAGTAACGAGAGAAAAGATAGGCTGAAGAAGGAGATGAATTTTCCTGTTCTCTGGGAATACAAGGACCTCAGGTACAGCCACTTTTTTCTTATTTCGTGGTCTGATGTGTCCTGTTAGGACAGCCACTAGGTGTCCTCAACCTTAAAATGGAAGAAGTTAGACTAAGAAAGTCTAGTGGAACTTCACTCTGGATTGTAGTTCAGACAAAATGTTTTCCAGGTGAACATGTCCATATGCAGTGCTTATGTTAATCTGGCCCTAAGGCTAAGGCAGCAAAGGAGACAGACACAATAAAGAAGCAGAGATGCTGAGTGTTTTCCTCCTGTTCCACTGGATATCTGTGTCCCCAAAGGAAGAGTCACTATATTCAATGAAAGTGGTCTTCACGTCCTTTGCAAGTAACCTGGGCAACCGTTTTCGTCTTAATCCATACAGCACAGTGTTATCTGTAGGAAAAATGGGAAGCTGACAGCATATTTCCCAACTCTGTGATTCCCGCAAGTGAGTGGTTTTTAACATCAACATAGACCAAGTAAAGCGTGAGGTTTTTTTCATGTTTATCCTCTGTAACACCTGTGAGCTGCAAGATGCCTCAGCAACAAGGCACCTCTGTGTCTCATGCCTTCCACAGGAGGCAGTATGGAAGCAGAGGAGGGGAGCCGGGGCTTTGGCACTGGAGGACACACACTGGGGCCAAGGAGCCACTCTGCTTTTGCACAAAGAGCAGAGAGCAAACATGAGCACCTGGAGACGGATCTCCCCGGGAATGACCAGAGCTGCTGTTGCCCAGAAGAGAAAGGGACAGTGTGGGAGCCATCACCACCTTGAGGGCAAGAATGAGGATAAAACTGTACTTGGTAAAAGGCAACAAGAGTCTCTCTGTGTAGCCAAGACAGTTTCATTTTTTTTCTGCAGCTGTAAGTAACTACCCGACACAGGCTAATTTACGGTGAATAGAAGTTTATTTAGTTCATGGCTATCGAAGCTGGGAAGTCTAAGAGCATGGTGTCAGCGTCACTTTAGCATCTGCTGAAGACAAGCTGGCTTTATCATAATCTGTCGGGGGCATCACATGGTGAGGTAGAGGGAGCAGGATTCCACTGAGGTCTCTCTCTTACGAATGTGGTCAACCACAGGGACCCCACTGACATGACCTCATCTAATCCTAATTATCTTCCTAAGGCCCCTTCATACACCCTCAACATAGGAATTAGGTTGGGGATTAACACACACTGTTTAGAGGCACATTTGCACAGTAGCTGAGGTGGCTTGGTAGTTTGTGGGTGGCCTGGAGACCTTTATTTGTCTATGCCGAGGTAAAATTACAAAGTGACCTTGCTTTGTGTCATTTTACCATGGTCTCAGGGCAACGTCGTCTGAGGTTGACATTCTCTGAGACTATTTATGTCCACTCATAGTGTAATACAACCTTGCTGAAAGTCCAAGGCAGCTGTGCATGTCTAGGACTGCCCTTGCCCTTTCTCAACAGTTACAGACAGACACATAAATTACTAGAAGAGAAAACACCCAGAGACTCACATTCTTATCAAAATTGAGTACCAGTTGACACTGTCTACTATATTAACTCTTCACATTACAACTACTGTTTTTAGCCTTTACAGATAGCATTTCTATATATGTTAGCTCAACAATTCTCTTTCGAATATTATACTGAACTCATGGCTCAGAGACTCAACATGGCCCAATTAGACATGATCACACTGATCCTTATAAATTACTGTCATACTACTGAAGTTGTTAGGAGTCACAGCTGTCTCTTTGAGCATAGCTCCACACATCTTGGAGAGCAAACTTGCATTCTGGAGCAGTATCACTAGCCGAGGAGTCCTGGTTCCTTTGAATGGAGAATACATTGCTATGTCTGTCTGTGAGGGACAATGAGCTTCTAGAAAATAGATCTTTTTAATATGGGAGCTCACTCTGATTTCTCTAGCTTAGCAGGATATATCGCTGCTTAGTTACTTTTCTCGTTGCTGAGACAAAATAACTTGATGCTCACAAGTTAAAGGAGGAAAGCTTTATTTCAGCTCACAGTTTGTAGAGGCTTCAGTCCATAGTCAGCTGGTTCCCAAATAGGGCAGCATGGCAGAGGGGCATCACAGAGGAGAAAGTCCATGGAAGGGTAGGCAGGAAGCAGCGAAGCAGCAAGCCTCCTTTTCCCTTTTTTCCCATCCAGGCTACAGGCATTTTGGTTGGTGCCACACACACTCAGAGTGGGTCTTCCCATTGCTCACACCCAGAACTATGGTAAACCAATCAGTGAACTAATCCAATACCACTCACCCTTACTCCCAGTCTCACCCTACATCCAATCACCCTGAAAAGCCCCATCTATGAGCACAGGAGGCTTTGGAGGATGTATAGATAGAAGCCATAACAGTTACCATCCCTGCTTTATTCTTAAGAGCTTGGACTTACCAACCATCAAGGTTTCTCCTAAGCTGACATTTGCCACAGCAGGAGTCACACTAACTCTTTCCTGGCCTTTGTTTCAACTCCTTCTAACATTTTCAAAGTGCTGGTGCCAAAAAACATGCTTTAATTTGGTTCCAGTCACTAACTACTAAAAATGACATCTGTTTTCTTAAAATTAAAAAAAAAAAATCAAAGTATCAGATACATATGATTAGGGAAAATCAGATAGTATAAAGGGCTCTGCTCACACCTGACACAAGGAAAAGCTGTTATTTTATTTTTTGCCTCTTCCTCAGGAAGTAAGTCAGTGTGTGTTCGTGTGGGTGTGGGTATGTTGTGTGTGCATATGTTACTGAAAAGTCAATATCTGTGAGTGGTATTCTTACATGAGGAGATGGAAGAGTATGAGAGAGTGTGGTCTGGAAATGGGGTAAATTCTTAACTTCAAGTAAATTACCCCTTGAGCATTAGCATCTTCATCTGAAAAAACACAGTTGTTAAAAGTGCTTTTGTAACAGGATTATGATGAGAACCGAAAAGGAATGCTTACAAATCCCTTGGAATGTGCCTGGAAAATATAGATGGAGAATAAATATTAACTCTTCCGTGGTTCTTTTTCTTGACTTTAAAATTTAAGCATTGTTTACTCTTTATTAGGATAAAGATTTCACTTCTTTTTACATGTTTTCAGCATCTACTAATGATCCTAAGTCACTACTTTTATATTCATTAGAAGCTTTGTAGCTGTAAATCATTCCTTACACCCTTACTTCCTATGCCCTCCTTAACAGTAGCCAGTGTTCCCTGATTCCTCTTTGTAAAAGGAAGATATGAATCCTCCTTCTCCTTCAGTGCCTCACCTCTTGACTTCTTCCGTGCTTCTTTGACTTTTCACCGACTGTAATAAGTGTATTTATTTCCAGTGTTTCAATGATCTATTTTGTTCTAAACTCAAAAATCAAACAAGAGTATTTATGTTTTCATGATCATGTAAATATGGTCTTCATTGTGTGGTGTGAGTGTGCGTGGTCTCTTGCAAAGTGTTAATTTTCCTGGGATTTCTACTTGACTCCCCACACCCACCTCATACTACCCATGCTCCATCAGGCACTGTCTTCTCTCATCCTTTTCTCAATTTCTTTCCAAATATGAGTAATGGGAGGTGTTATGTTCAGTCCCCTCTCCCCACAGAACTTTCCGTTGTTCTGCTCTGGAGTGGCTGAGTGCTGGGCCTGGAACATGCACACTCTGATCCATAAATTCTCTCCTCTCTGGGTTGAATTTCCTTTTTCCTGGACTCTGTGTTTTTCTCTCTCAGTTACCCCACCCTTCCTGTGGATACACAACACACACATACAAAACGTGTATGCACACACACACATGCACAGGTACATCGCACACCCTTTCTTGCTTTTCTTTCTGTGGAGTTCTTTCTCCAATAACATTCTAAGATACTTTTTTGATAAATTCATGATTCCCCAGTCAGCTCCATATTTTTCTTTTTTGTACTATTTTCTAGATGCTTTTCTTGATTTTCTTTACCTCTCTCTTTCTAGAGTTGTTTACTTTGTCAGTCACTTTTTAATTATGAAGACCTTTTTTATTTCATCGTGTTTCCCTATTTTCAGTGCATCTTGTGCTCATTTTATGAATAAAATTATTTTTCTAACCTCACTGAAGATATGGATTTGAGTTTTCTGAAAAGATCATTTTTTGGTTTCAAACATTCTTCTTTTTGGCCATGTTGTATCTAGATGTCCCCCTAAAGCCTCATCTGGTCATAGATGGGGCTTTTTGGAGGTGGCTGGATCTGGGGCATTAAGGTTGTGTCTTGGTTGCTTTTCTCTTGTTGCTGAGACAAAATACTCAACACCGAAAGTTAAACAGGGAAAGGTTTACTTGGCTCACCGTTTGTGGAGGTTTCGGTCTATAATCAGCTGGCTCCAAGGCAGGATGGCATAACAGAGGGGCAATGGTTTATGGTGGTGGAAGACAGCAAAAGCAACACAAGCAAAAAGGGGGAGAAAGAGAGCAAAAAGGGAAAAGTAAGTCTCTTTCTCTCCCTTATGTTGTTTGCAGGTTACCCACTCTTTGTTAGCTGTAGCACTCACACCTCTAATGCCAGCACTAGATGATGAAGCAGTCACAAACTCTAGATTCAGCCACCTCTGAAAATCCCACCCCCGATGACCGCATGAAGCTTTGGGGTGGCTTACATTCAGACACAAACCATAACATGTTGTGACAATGGGATTAATATTATGATACTGGAATTAAGGGTGTGTGATTTCTTAATTAGTTGGCATTGTTCTGGAGGTGGGTAATGGAATGACCCACTGTGGGTGTAGAAGGTACCACCCAAAAGGCAAGTACCTCAGAAAGGATGAAAAGGGAGAGGCAGGCTGCTGCTGCTTGTTGCTTTGCTGTCTCTTGCCCACTTGCCATGCACTATTTCTCCTTTCTCATGCCTCCCTCTTCCATGCCAGCCTACCCTGGAGCCAGCAGACTATGGACTGAAACCTCTACAAGCCTCTGCTGAGATAAACCTTTCCTCTTTTAACTTTGGGTGCTGGGTATTTTGTCTCAGGAATGAGGAAAGTAACAAAGACACATGTTTTACTTGCTTCTTTTGGCCACTTTTCCATGTTGATGTCTTCCTCATTCATCTGGCCCTGTACTGCCCATTCATTTTCAAGAAAGGTCTTGAATAGTAACTCCCTAAATGTCCTACATTTCCTTGTAGGGGCCTTGAATAGCAGCTCCCTAAATGTCTGAGCACCAAGATGCATTTCTCTGGGGACTTTTAGTTCAGTCCTGCACTCTCTGATCTTTTGTCCTCCTGGTGTAGACTGGAGGTTGCCATGAGCACTGTGTGTGGTGAGGACCCGATGTCTTCTCCCCAGCTTCCTCTTCATCTCTCCCTCTCTCAGGCTTTGCCTCCAAGACCAGTCTTCTTGGCCATGGGCCTCCCCTGCACTTCTCTGCACAGCAGCTCTCTGCACTCTGCTTTATTCAGTCGTCACCTCACCATCCAGTTCTATCTCCCAAACATGTGCTGGAGTCTTGCATCTCCTGTTGAACTCATTCTGATTTTCACTGATAGCAGAGTGAGAAGTGCTCTGGGGGTTCCTGAGACCCAGTCTTCATCACTATGAGATTTCTGATCTGAAACCAGTCACTTACATCTGTCTTTCCATTTACTCATCTGTAAACAATGATATGAATAGTATACCCTTGAAAAATTGGAAGAGTACTGCGTTATCATTTCTAAAGACTCAGAACAATTACTGGTGTGGAGTGAAACCCTCCAATGTCAGTCACCATTATCACATGTGTAAGGATCTTTAATAATAATTTTTGAGTAGTAGCAGAATCATTGACAAATGCCTTTATGTCCTCCTAAAATATGACTCCAAACCATCCACATCAGTGTTGCTATCTCATCTCAAAAAACAAGATAATCACAAGAAATTAAAGAAATTCCCTTTCAATGCAGATGTGTTTTAAAACAAAAAGACTTCTGACAGCCAGTAAGACTGAAAGTATCATATCTGGCCCAGGTTTAAGTTTAGTAACATCTGACCTGGTCATGTTATGTCTACAAATATCCTAAGGAAATAATCTCAAATGCAGTCAAGGTTTTATGCAAGGAGAATGTTTGTGCACTATGATTTACATAAATGAGTAGAAACAACGTTAGGTACAATAGTTAGGGGGAGACAGGAGAGCAAGCCGGGTCCTGACAGAACTCTACACCCTAATAGGATGAACATTGCAGAAACAGAATGGTGCAGACTTTGGTAATCATGGGAGAGGATACATGAAAATTTACCAATACAGGGACTTGGACACAGGGTACCAGACCTGCATTTGGAATGACAGGGTCACTGACAATAAGGATATATATGAGTATGGAGTAGATAGTATAGTCATCAAAAACATGGGATTTGGATCAGAAAGATTTGGGGTCAAGTGCTGGCCCCAGCACTCCCGTGAAAATATAAGCGCGTTACATGACCTTAAGGGTGCTTGCTTCTGTTTTAGAATAGGAGCCACAAAGATTCTAGCCCCAAGGAGTGTGTGATCATGGAAAGAGTTGTATATGGAGCCTGCATATCACAGATCCTCAGTAAACACGAATGTTCCCAGCCCCAGGTCCTCCCCAGAACATTGCTTCCCATCCATTCCTCTGTGTACGAATTCTATTGTTTCTATGTCTGTGCCCTAATCTCCAAATCTCCCTGTTCCCTCACGGGACACAAGGACTCTGCCGTGGTGGACGTGAGGTTAGAGGGACCTGGATGATGGTTTTCCTTTAAATAACAACCACAGGGCCTGGTGGACAGAGAACTTGCTCGGTGAAGTCCACTGGGTCAGTCCGTACCCCAGAGAGATACATGGCAGACCTGGCCCCTGGCTGCTGATCACTGTTGGCCCAGCTGTCCCTATTCTACTCCATAATTTCTTTCCTTCTCTCCTCCAGCATGGGCACCCTGGTGAGTTCTCAAGAAAACTTCTCAGAGACAACATTGCCATCGCCATGGCCTGGGCACCTTTCACAGGTATTTGTTCTTTTTCTCTGGAAGGTTCCTGCTCATGAACTAGCTCTGAGGTGGCTCCTCTGAAGCCAAGATAGCTTGTAAAGGAGACAAGAATGGAGAGGGGAGACCAAAGAGGAACCCATGGATCTCCGTTCTTGAGGTTTATGGGCCCTCCCTCTAGACCCTCTCCTCAGGGGCACAGCCTTCTAGCAAAGACAGCCTTGAGCAGGAGGGCAGGAGGGGAAGGGAGAGAGAAGAAAAAGGCACAGAAGTAGAAGGGCAAGAGAAGATGTGACAGGGGCCTGGAGACTCCTCTTGCCTGTCACCCATCCCCTACTCCTAACTGACCCCGGGGCACCACCCATGAAGAGACTGCTCCTTCCAGCTCCTAACTTCTCTGAGAGACTCAACTGGAAAAGTGACCCAGAGTACCACTGCACTGGACCTGAGTATGACGTTTACCACCTCCCATATGTATGAGCTGGAGCCCTTACTTCAGCTATCACGTGAGAACAATGTTTTCCACAGTTTGTGAGGATCCACTGTAACATGTAGACGTGGTGAGGTCAGTGCCTATCACTTAGCAGATCGTCTGAGAGTGTGGGTCTCCCTCTTCCCTGCACCCTGTAAGATCCTCCTCCTCCCCTTACTTTGGACGCTATGCATAGGCACTCGCCCTGCCTTGTCAGTGATGGGCACCTGCGTAGCATATGTGTCTGACACAGGCCGGGAAGGGATCCAAATAGCTCAAGGAATAGAAAAATCCAAAATGATAGCAAAAATGACCCCTCCCCCCAAATCAATACCATCCCTGTTCAGTGCTGTTTCCTTCACATGTGCTCAGGTGCCTTGGGACCAAGTCCATTGCTCAATTCCTCAGCAGCCTTGGAAAGCAAACCGTGCCATCAGGGGTCAGGAGAGAGAGTAAGGGAGTTAGAAGGACTGGAATCCAGGAGTTTCCACCAGGCTGGGATCTGGGAATGGGGCTGGGGTTGTTGTGTTCCTTGTGATTAACTTTTCCTTTGTTTAGTGAATGTGCCAGCCTAGGTTTAGGGGTGTGCTGGGGAGCCAGGCCTCTGAGACTCATAGAGATCAATAGGATCAGTGCAGAGTGTCCAGTTGCCCCATCACCACCCGGCCAGAGGATCCTCTCCACTGCCAGTCTTGGAGCCTCTGGGATTATTAGGCCATGTTTCTCTAAATAATATGGAGTTTAAACTTTTGCTTTAAACAACAACAACAAAAAAACCCTCAGGTATATTATAGCCTAGCATGCAGAAATCATTTTTAGTTTTGGGATTTTATGGGAAAATTGTTGAGTTAGAGTCAAGCTAATGTTGCCAAAGCTGGTCTCAAACTCCTAGGCTCAGGTAATCCTCCTGCCTCATTCTCCTAGAGCTAAGACTACAGGCAGGTGCCACGACATCAGTCTAGGGGCTTTTAAAACATGGAACTTAATTGTAATGTCAAAAAAAATGTTGACAAGGTAGTCTTGGATTCAAATTCTGAATCTAAGAATTTGGATTCTTTCTGCTTGCTGGCTTTGAGCAGCCATTTTTCCAGCATGAGTCTCTCTTCTTTGAAAAGAAAATAATGGCTCTCTTGTTTTTATGTAGTAGGAAATATATTTTATATTATGGTCTAATACATACATAAATTTATGATGGACCCCGATCCCTTATCTGAAATTCCATAGATTCTAGATCCCTGCAAATTTCACACTTTCTTGGTAATCAGTAGGGCAGTAACCCTCCCCTCTCTACTGGCCTGAGACCATTTACAGCCATGATTCTGTTTGTCTCATTTAGCATGAATACTTATTTGTTTCACTATCAACCCACTAATGGATTTGACTACTAGCATTGGCTAGTAATACTCCATATTTTTCTGTATTCCCTCTATGGAAGATTTAAAACTATATTATAATTGTATATTTTAAAATAACTATTAGAGAGGATTTTGAGTTGTCTCAACCCAAAGAACATGAATACTGCTTATGATGATGAGGTGCTAATTTCCTTGAAATACCACACTGCACTGAATGCAGATGTGAAATTATTTATGTGTCCATTAAAAATAAAATGAAAAATATTTTTAATACTTTAAAAGAGTAAGTTTCTGAATTTCTAGACAATCTAGGTCACAGAATTTCTGCATAATTATGAAATATATATATGAAATATAAGATATCTGATTAAAAATACAGTGAATTTTAAAATTTACAAGTAATTTATTATAGTAAAAAACACATTGCAATTAATCCTCTTCAAAGTACCCCCATTGCTTCAAATACATTTATCCCATCACCCATCATTCTTGCCACTTTCTGAAGTAGCTCTGCTCTATGGCCATACTACCCTGAAAGCACCTGATCTCATCTGAAGTAGTTCTGGAAGTCATCCTATATGACTGACTTCAATTATGCTGTCCTAGCTTCCTTGATGTCCTAAATGGATTGGCACTATTTACCTTTCACAGTCATTTTGACTTTGCAGAAGAAGCAGGAATAGCACAACCCTCAATCTGGTGAATAAGGTAAATGAGGACCCATGGTAGTGATTTTACAAGCCTGCCTTTCCATGAGGTGACACTCAGCAGCAGCATTCACCACATTTTAGTCACACCCCAGGAAGACACTAACAAAGGAGGACTTCCAGAACTGCTTCAGAAAGTGGCAAGAACAATGGGTAGTTTGAAGTGAGAGGGAGTATTCTGAGAGGGGCTAAGGGCAATGTGTCTTCTATTGTAATAATTTTTAAAAATTTAAGAATTCACTGGTATATATTGATTACTCTGGTATGTATTTAAAATAATTCACAAAACAATACACAACCATTCTGTGTCCAATACACTCTGAAATTGTCAGATATATTTCCTTTTAAGGTGCTGCTCTTGACCTCAACTAATTTCAGAACCCACAGCTGAGATGAAAGGCACATTTAGAAGAAGCTAGTATAAAGTATTTGAATCACAATAAGCTGTAGGGAGATAGAAGGAATCACTGGCACTTTCACTATCTGAAAGCTATTTTTAAAAAACCTGATTTTAAACAGGAAAGCACCATGGTACTTCCAGCCACACTGATGTACACCTGTAATCTCAGCTACTCAAGAGGCTGAGGCAAGAGAATCTACAAAGCCAATCTAGGCAATGTAGCAAGACCCTACCTCAAAATAAAATAAAAAGGGCTGAGGATATGGCTCAGGAGTAGAGCACTTACTGTAGTATGTAGTATGTAGAATACCCTCGTATTCCCACAACCACAAAAATAAGAGCAAAAACCTCCCCAGCAATTCTTAGTGAATTAGTTATCTGGAGCTGCCACAGAACCTCACAGGTTGGCGGCTGGAACAGAAGACCTCATTTGGCTTTATTTATTGTCCCTATTTCCAAGCACAGTGCCTGGGGTTAGGGCTTTAGCACATGAATGTGAAGGACATGATTCAGTCCATAACACTGGAGACTCCATCAAAAGTTTCCATGTAACACTGGAGAATCCATCAAAAGTTTCCATGTGACAGCTTCCATGTGAGCATTTAGCCAGGGTGTACACCAGCCATTATCACTGTATTCTAACTTTTTCCTCCCCCTGCCCAACTAGAGAGCAGCAGCTTCATTGAGGATGTCATTGAGTGTCTCCAGGACATAGTGAGCAGAGAGGACCTGCAGCTGCTGGTAACAGAAGACAAAGCCTGGGAGACGATCTTGGCAGAAGCAGGATTGACCAGGTCACCTCCCTAGGACACCCCAACAATGCCACCTTGCTGGGTGGCCTTTCTCAGTAGAGATGTACCTCCTCCAGGCAATTTTCTGTGGTTGGGGTTGAGGGTGCTTTTCCCCAACAACCCCTGTGGGATATTTTATTCATGAGCTACATGCCAGCCATTCATTCCCGGGCAGCGAACGGCCTTAGGTCAAAGGGACATAGTGACCACAGGGGATAGGATCACTTTTGCCATCTGCTAATTATGTGAACTTTGCAAGTAACTTCACCACTATCTGCCTTAGTTTCTTCATTCAGTTTGATTGTGAGAAAAATAAAATAATGCAAGTAAAGTTCACAGCATACGGGTGACACACAGTAGGTACTCAGAGGAAGTTAGTTTTTAAAAGACCAGGTGGTAAGAGAACAGGGCCAAGGATCTCCTCCTTGGAGAAGGGAGCCAGGACGACTTGTTTTGGAATAAGAAAGAAAAATCTAGACACGACCAACTTGTGTCTTGAGAATTATTCCTTGGGCCATTTTTCTCCCCATCTGAAAAATTGTACAAACACAGCAGGATCTTTCTGTGGCCCGGGAGACATAGAGATCAGAGTGAGGTTGCACAGAGCTGGGTGAGACCCTGGCTGTCCCTGAGCTCTAAGGCTCCAGGCTATGCCTTAGTGACTCAGATTGTCGTGTGTCCAATGGGAACAGGAAGGTTGGGGCCACAAGGCTGATACCAGAATAAGGCAAAGGAAGGGCCAAAGGTATAAAGCAAAGGGAGGCCATGGGCCCAGCAGAGGACGTGTCAGTGGGAGGGAACATTCCCTCCTTCTTGTGTCATCCATCCCCAAAGGTCGCTGAGTGCTATGGTTGGTTATTTGGTCCATATCTTACTTGGATCTGGGCAGTTTTTAGCTACATGGGAGACTCTCTTCAACATAGAGTGGCCAGTGACCAATAGGCAGGCAGAGTACCTTAGTGACAACTTCCAAAGTCAGGACAGTAGGCTGTCTATTTTGTTTAACTTGAGAGACTCTGAGGACATTCAAAAGTCCCCACTGCAGAAGAAAATATGTCCAGTCGTGTCTTATTTAAGTTGAGATCTTTCCAGGTGCAGCAGTTATGATAGATAGGTCTCAGTGCTGCATGAGTCTTTGCACATGGCCTTGGCTGCACACAGGTGAAGTTGTCTCCAACCAAGGTGTCTCATACACTACCGACATGTGAGAGTAAGGCCTTGAAGGTTGGGATGCCAGGTGTTAGGTCAGGAGGTGGCAAGGTAAGGGAGTCAGGGTGGAGCCAGGTCTAATAGCCAGGTCTCCTGCTTCCCAGCAAGAGACAGCACTGACCTTCCACCTGGAAGGGCAAAGAGCATTCATCGGGAGAGAGTAGACAAGAACTTTTTAGCTTCTCTCTGCCTCTGAAGATTTATTATTTACATTCTAAGTTCCCAGTGTCAGACAAAGAAAAGACCAAGATGTAGACCCAAAACTGTCCTTTTTTTTTTTTTTTTTTTTTGAACCTAGGGCTTTTGCACTGAGCTACATGCCAGCCTTTTCTCTTTTTTTTTTTTTTTTTTTGGAGGTAGGGTCTCACTAAGTTCCCAGGCTGG